CCCCTCCCCTGCACCCCCTCCCCTGCACCCCCTCCCCTGTACCCCTCTCCTGCACCCTCTCCCCTGCACCCCCTCCCCCGCACGATCACACACAGCCCTCTGGCCCATGCACACCTGCACTGAGCTTCAGTCTCAGCCCGCTCACACTTGCGCCTCCTCCATGGGCACACTTCCTACCACACACACCTCCCCTACCTCTGCACACAGCTCAGGCTACACACACCTCGCACACCATCTGAGTATCTTCGACACCCATTACAACACTTGTCACAGAGCCCAGAGCAACAAGCACCCCATGGCACACACACTGCACCTCACACCCACCCTTGGCCACCAAGGCCCCACTCACAGCTTCCTGCTGCTCCTCACTGTCGCGCACACATGCACACGGCCCTGTGCACCGCCGGCTCCCCTCAGTAGGCCCAGTTCTAAGGACAGGCCCTGCCTCAGGCTCACTCAGAGCAGCAGGGAAGGCACAGTCACCTGCTTCCAGTTCTTCTCTCCGGGGATGGGGGAATGTTGGTCACGGATGTGCCTTTGGGAGCAAACTGTCCCCTCCGTTGGGCCCCGGGGAGTGTCCACAGCACCCAGGCTGCCACGGATGCATCACCGAGCACCGGGAGGACCTGGCGTGTGTTTATGTGTATTTTCATCAGAACTTTGCCTGTAGCTTCCTGGCCTTGCAGTCACATCCTCTCCTAAACCTAAACCCCACCCAGGCACCCACCCCTTCCCTAGGCGGGCGGGCGGGCAGTGGTGGTTCTTGCCCCGCCTGCCCCAGCTCTTCCTGTAGCTCTGAGTAAAGCGGCTCCTTCCTCTGGGGCCCGCCCCAACCCACCCAGGCACGGCACTTTCCTCTGTGCAGTGTGTGTGTGTGTGTGTTGGGGGCTGGGGGGGGTGCTCAAAGGGGCAGGTTCCAGGGATAATGGGTGGGGTGTCCTCCTGGCACAGCGACCCCAGCCAGGGCCATCATGCATGTATGCCCGGAGGACAGGGCTGCACCGTCTGCAGTCTGCCTCCCAGTCAGCACTAGGGTTCACACTCAGGAGCCAAGGGGCCAGCTGGTGTGCGCCCCCGTGCGTCTCTGACCTCTGACCCCAGGGTACGGGGCCTTCCGGAACTCCAAGCCAACCCCGGGGCTCCAACAGGGCTCTCTGGCCCTCTCCCTGTCCCTCTCCCGGGCAGGGGCCCCCAGTGGTTGAGCAGTTGCCATGGCATCTTGTGGACCTTCCCTTCAGGTTGGGGTGCGAGGGCAGTGCGCCCTTTTCCAGATAAGGAGCAAACACAGCTGGCCGAGGCTCCTGGCTCAGAGCAGATGGGGGCAGACGGCCTCTCCGTTGTCACCACACGGACACCCCAGGCTGACCTGGGACTCGAGACCCAGTGACTGCTGGCTGGTACCGCCCACGGAATCAGACAGGGGTCTCCTTTGGCCCCTGGCCCTGCCCTCAGTCGCATGGGGCTGGGAATCTCAGTCCCAGCCTGGCCCTGGCGGCCTCGCACTGCCCACCACGCTCTGCCGGGCACCCTGAGGTTCTTAGAAAGCGCCAGCTCCTCCCGCCCTCAGCCCCAACCAGCGCCCTCGGTGTGCGCAGCGCCTGCAGCTTGAGGACGACTCCCCTGGAGCTCGGACACGCCGCCGCTCTGCTCCCCGCGCGTGCAGAGTCCCCGCGCCTGCCCTGAAGCGGGAACGTGCGCAAGAGGCTGCCGAGGGCCGCATCTCGCTCCCCTTTCCTGCGCCCTTCAGGTGCGGAGAGTGGAGGGACCGGGACACGCACGGGGGCGGCTCGGGGCGCTCGCCCAGGCACAGGCGCGCGGATGGCGGAAGCTCCACCCGGCGCCCGGCGAGCTCCGGCCCCAGCCTGACTCTAGGTCGCCCTCGGCGCCTTAGGACGTCTCGAGCCGGGATCCAGGCTTGGGGGACGGAGCTGGGACCCCCGCGCGCCTCGGCCCGCTCTGTCCTCCTGCGCGGGGGTCGGGCAGAGGAAAGGGCTCCCAGCCCCCTTCGCCCACGGTCCCTCCTTTCCCCAGGCCTGGAAGGGGCCAGGACGCGGGCGAGCTCGGGCTTCCGGGCGACGCGGGAGCCTCCCTGGCTGCGAGCGGCTTCCTGAGAGACCGCGCCCAGGGACAAGCAGCGCCCCGGGCCCCCGACTCCAGGCCTGGAGCGGCCCTGGGAGGACAGCGGCCTCCACTCACCTTCGCGGGTCCGGTCGCACGGCCACTCACCTGCTGCCGCGACCTGGGGCTCGCGCGGGGCAGGGGCGGGGCAGCTCACCTGAGCCAGGTGCGCGGCGGCGACGGGCCCGGGGGCGGCAGCAGGTGCGGCCCCGCCCCGCAGTCAGGGCGGGGGCGGACCCAAGCGCCCCGCTCTGCGCCCGAGGCTGGCGCTGGAGGCGGTACCGCTGCCAGGGAGCCGCGGCCGCCGGGCCTGGGACCAGTGGTCAAACCAGCCCGACCAGTGCGCGGAGCTCCAGAGCCTTGGGGACGTTTCAGAGCTTCTCTCCTCTCCTCCAGGAGGCCTGTCCTGACCCCCACCCCACCAAGTGACCCCATGTTGTCTGTCACCCTCAGCACCCCAGGTGCAAGGACGAGAGGACCCCCATAGGCGTCCCTCCCTACCGGAGAAGGGCCAGGGCCTGAGGCTGCCCCTCACCTGCTTCCAGACCTTCCACACTGTGCCTTAGTTTCCCATCTATCCCTGAGGGCAGATATAATCCCCCCGGGACCCAGCAAGGCCAAGAAAGCAAGACAAACAGGTTTAATTTTATTACAGAAACTCCTGGCTGAAGGGAACAGGCCGGCGAGGTGGGCTCAGGCCACCTCCCAACACCCAGAATGGGGGCACGGCAGAATCTGGGGCCCAGAAGTCAGAAGCAGCCCAGGAAACTTGGCCCAGTTTTCCTGCCTTGTGGCTGCCTGAGAAGTCCCACTCCCAGTTCAGCGGGTACCCAGGGTCACCCAGAATTCAAGTCAGGATGTGCCAAGCTTGAGAGCCCCCACAGAGACAGAGCAGGTGGAACAGGCCGGCGGCTCACAGATGCCCTGAACAGACAGGGAGCTCCTGCAGCCCCCATGGACACAGCCTTCTGACAGCACCCCTCCCTCCACACGCAGCGGGAGGCCAGTGGGAGGTGTGCTGGTGCTGACACTGTCTCAGCTCCTGGGGGCCAGGGCCTCTGCATGGGCTCTGGCCCTACACATCTGTGCTCCTGGCGCTGAAGAAGATGGAGGCTGCGGTGGGATGGGTGGGTGTCGGGGGCTGAGGGCCCGTCCGCACCCTGCCCAGCCTCTGCCTTTCCCTCATCTTCTCACACAGATGCTGGTACTTTCTCTCCAGAACGCTGTTCTTCACCGACTGCGGGACGTCAGGCACGAACCAGGCGGCAATGAGCTTGATGCACAAGGCCACGTGCTAGGAGCAGCACAGGAGAGGCCCAGCACCGTCAGGTGCCAGCCGGGATCCGGGTGCTTGGGGCCAGGGAGGAGGGCTGGAGAGAGAACTGCCCCAACCCACTCTGAGGCCTCTCCCGGTTCTCGCTCACCTCAAAGAGGATGACGAAGGCCAGGCGGATGGCCAGGAGGAACCAGAACTTCCTGGTGAGGGTGTAATGGCGGGGATGGCGGTAGTCCCTGTACCTGGGGAGAGGGAGCACCTGAGGTCAGGGGTCAGGAGTTCAGAGGGCATTCGTGGGGGAAGGGGAGTTCCAAACCTGCAGTGAGTCACGTTTTCTGAGCCCTCAATCCCATCAGGGTCCTGGAAGTCCTTGGTGTAGAAGACGGACAGGCTGTGGTTGACGTAGCCCGTGAGGCAGCTGGGGAGAGGGGAGAGGAGTGTGGGCGGGGGTGGGCTTCCAGGCGGCCCCTCCGGGCCCCAGGGTGCTTCTAGCCTGCATTATGGAGGCCACACCACAGACAGTCACCAGTGGGATGGGCCCCCGGGCCAAGCACATCTTCACATCCAGGGGGCTCGGGGGCCTGCGGGGACTCTGGACATCACCAGCCGCCTTCCCTGCCAAGGACTGACCCTGGGGACCCAGTCTGCAGTCTGGTGGCTCCTTGACATCAGAGGAGCCGGGTAAGTCAGACGAGGACACGCAGGCAGTCCTGGTCAGTTACTCCTGACCTTCAGCCCGGGGCCTGCAGGCCACCCCCGGCCCCAGCCTCATGCAGTCCCGGGGTACCGGCAGATCCAGCCACTTCCAGGAGAGTCTGGGTCCCCCCCAGGCCCCCGGGGCTTGGCTGTGGCCGGACGTTTCTCCCAGGGGTCTCCAGACACTTGGAGGCCTCACTCGACTGTGGAGTTGGCTTCTTTCAGGCACGGGCTGTAGCGGTACTTGTAGACCACTCGAGGGATGAACTCAGATGTGAAGGCGATGACCATTCCGTTGGCAATGACCGCTAGCACTCCGATGGTCTCCAGCACCTGGAGCCAGGTCCCTGCACAGGGCAGCGAGCAAGCGGCTGGACTCCTCCGGCCTCCCTTGGCCGGCTCTGCCCCCACCTGCCCACAAGGGGCCCTCCACGCCTCTATGCATGGCGTCCCATTGCAGCTCCAGGGCCACGGAATTCACTAGGAAGTCCCCAGCCCCACAGAGCATGGCCTCAGCTCTCCTGGCCCTACCCTGAGGTGGACAGCAAGGGACCCAGGAAGCCTCACCCCTCCACCTTCCTGAACTTCTCAGCTGCCCCCGAGCTCCTGCACCTCCTGGGTTCCCACCCCAGGGCAGGACCCCACAACCTGGGCTCAAGACTGGGGAACTCCCCAACACCCCTCCCCCATTCCCCAGGTCCAGCACCCCAGCCCGGGTCACTCCCCTGCTAGCTGCCCTCTCAGCCTGGCCCATCTTGGGACACAGGCCAGCTGCTCTGCTCCTGCCCCAGCCACTGGCAGCATCTGGGTCCCCCTTGGGGGCATCAAGCCCCTTTGAGATCCTGACGGTTTGTGGGGGGGCCCTGCCCACTCTTGGGAACCCCCCACCCAGGCTCAACCCGCACCCCAGGCCTCTGGAGAAGGGCTGGGTCTGTCTGCGGGGTGAGATCGGAAAGATTATTTCAAGGAGAGCCCGGGGGCCAGAGGGAGGCCAACAGGGTGAGCTCAGCCTCGGTTCCCGCCCATGCTGCGCCCGTCGGGCCTGACCGATGTCCTTGGCTTTGCGGGGCACCAGGCGCCGCTGCAGCCGGACCATCTTGATGGCGTCCAGGCGGATCTCCACGAGGTTGCTGAAGAGCGCGAGCAGCGGCGCCAGCGGGAAGGCGGCCACGAAGATGGTGGTGAAGCCGTACTGGATCACTGCGGGGTG